ACTAATGTTGATTGGGGCTTTATGCACACACATTGTAAATTTAGTGTGTGTCTGATACATGAATAAAAGCTAACAAAAGCTGGTAGAAAGCACTTTAGGATCAATGTGGGGTTTGTTGAAGTAGGGGATGATCATAGAGAAGGAATATTTGAACTTTCCCTGCAAGGAACAATGTAGAAAAGTGAATCTTTGAATTCAATAGCTATTGATTTATTTTAATTTATTTATTAATTTATTGATTTATTTATTTTAATTCAATAGCTGTTTCTTTATATTGGCCTCAATTAAGCACAACAGGATGGTGCTTAGAACAGATTACTTGTGGGGACTGAAAGAGAGATTTTTAAAGTGGGGTTTGAGACCTCCATGCATCCTTTCCTGTATCAGTAAGGCAATGTTTTCAATTTCACTCAGTCCTCAGCCACATTATGTGTAATGCTCATGTACTACAGTAGTTGTTTTGTCTCCAATTTCTGGCACAAGGAAAAAAATCAGGTTGCTAGAATGTTTTAGTTGTTCTGTCCTAGTCTTTCTCATGCCTCTTACTATGGCATAGGTTGTATTAGTATTTTCTTGTATGAAATATTTCCCATCAAAGTGAAGTGGTGCCTGAATTGTAGGTTCTTGAGAGGCACAGAGCGGTTTGATGGCAAAGCAGTAGTTATATTGCTGTGGTTTGTTTTGGAGCAGTGTTTGTCAACTGAGGATTTATCTGCCAGGTGACAAAAAGCAGCTTCTAACATTTGGTGCAATTGCTGGTACATGAGCTGATTTGCTGAAGTCAAAATCTTAATTGAAATACATTGATTCTGTATTTCAGGATCTGGCTTTCTGTCCTCCCCCTTTTTTATTTTAAAGAGTACATGGTCATAATCTTAGCAGCAAGCACATGAGAACATGGATGGACATAAACATTTGACCTGCTGATGAAAGCTAATAATATTCAATCCCAAGATCTGTAAGGAGAAGTGAGTTATTTAATGACATCTTGTGTTTGCTCTCTGTAACTTATATGCTGCAGTCTCCTCTGGACTTCTCTGTTCTCTGTAAGTTGTTTCAGAGATACTTGTGACAGTCAGGTTACCTTGGTTTGTTCCCAGACCAGCGGTTCTGAAACAGCAGCATGGAAACAAGTCACTTGTGGAATATGTGGTAAGGTTTCCTGTAATGGAAAGATAAGCATTTATCCTCCCGGTTGATCCTTGAGCAGTTGCCCTCATTTGGCAAGCTCTTTCAGCTAACCCTGTTTCCTATTGCAATACATCTGGGTCACTGGAAAAATATGTGTTTAGGAGGAATGCATGAGGTAGGCAAACCAGGTTACATCACCCTCAGGGTTTCTCAGGCCACGACTGCTTCTTAGCTTGTCCTGAATCTTGATCAGGGGAATCCAGGTAACTTGGATGTTATTTTCATCCAGTTCATGTTCAAAGAGAAGGATGAGAGGTCGTGAAAACTCCTTTCTGTGTGTTTATGAGCCCAGTGCTTGGTAACACTGGGACGATGTTGGTGAAAGCACTTGCATCATCTTTAATTTGTTTAATTCATAAAGAGAACTTCTGAAGTCAGTTACATATAGTAGGAGTGGAATATGCAGTTTCTTACATAGCCAACAGCATAAGCCTTGTCTTTATAGAATCATAGAATCAACTGGGTTGGAAAAGACCTCCGAGATCATCAAGTCCAACCCTTGATCCAACACTGCCATGGTTACTAGGCCACGGCACTAAGTGCCACATCCAGTCTCATCTTAAAAAGCTCCAGGGATGGTGAATCCACCACCTCCCTGGGCAGCCCATTCCAAAGTCTGATTACTCTCTCTCTAAAAAATTTCTTCTTTATATCCAACCTAAACTTCCCTGGCAGAGCTTAAGATTGTGCTTTCTTATCCTACTGCTGGTTGCCTAGGAGAAGAGACCAATGCCCACCTGGCTACAACCTCCTTTCAGGGAGTTGTAGAGGCTGATGAGGTCTCCCCTGAGCCTCCTCTTCTCCAGGCTAAACAACCCCAGCTCCCTCAGCCTTTCCTCATAGGACTTGTGCTCCAGTCCCTTCACCAGCCTCCTTGCTCTTCTCTGGACCTGCTCCAGCACCTCAATATCCTTCCTGAACTGAGGGGCCCAGAGCTGGACACAGCACTCGAGGTGTGGCCTTGCCAGCGCTGAGTACAGGGGAAGAATCACTTCCCTGATCCTGCTGGCCACACTGTTCCTGATACAGGAACATCAGTTCTTGCTAGTTGGTGAGGGAAAGGTATTCGTGTGCCTTTGTGTTCGAGGGGATAATGTGTGATAAACAGGATACTCAGGAGCATTACCATGCAAAGCCCATGTTGATTGTTCAGGTACTGTGCGTAGCATCAAAACTCATAAGAAAAGCCTCATCTCTAAGATTCAGGTGCTCGAGGGTTTTTTGTGCTTCTGCTGTGTCATATCATGCCATTGAATTTGTCCCATTTCCAACAGAACATAAAAATGGAGGCACAAAACCAAGGCAAAGTTGGTATGAACTAAATAGAGTTCTGTAATTGTCAAAACCCACTGTTGTGAAGTTGGATAGACAGGGTTTACTGATCACGTTTTATTGTTTTACATGTCTCCTTTTGCTTGTACTACAAGAGGATAATGAAACCACTATAATTTCATTTCTACTCTTTTTTTTCCCTCTCTAATCTCTCATGTAAATCTTTTTGGTACATGAAACATGAATCCTTGGATAAAAGTAATCAACTTCAGTAACAGAGTACTTGATGCAGTGACTTGTCACCGATATGATTTTCCCATTTTCTAAGAGGCAAACATTCAGCATATTCATCAGGCTGTATCTACACTGAGTCAAACAGAATCCATATTCATGAAACTCTTTTCTCTCATGGGTTACAGGTTGCCTTACCAGGCATAAGTTAACTTAGATTTTTTTAGGACATCTATTTTCTGTATTTTGTACTTAAACATTGAAAGCTCTGACCTAAGAAGAGATGGTGGTGGATTTTTATTGGCTTAAAGTGAGAGTCATGGAAAGAAGAACTTTCCTTGTTGCAGAAAGGAAAGTGCTGAAACACAAGTATGTTTTTTCTTGCATACATTTACACCTGTGGAGTTCCAGAGCCATCTGGTATTCCCTCTGCACTGCTGGTAGTTGTCCCTCCTCATCCATTTAAAAAACTTTATTCTCCAGCCTGGTATCCAGATGCCTTCACTTTGTTACTCAGTTCCTGGAATGGCACTGGAAGAAGCACCAGCATAGGCAGGGTTTCAGAGGCTGCTGCTCCTTCTCTATGTTACAGAAGTACCATAAGACCAGATACAAGTTAGTAGGCCATTGACATTTTCTTAGTGCTGGTGCTATTAGCACTGTCATTTAAGCAATGATGTTAAAAAAGAGCATCTTTTTCTAGGGAAGAGTGATGTAGGCAAGGCCTTGCAAGGTGACTTGGTCTATTAGGAGGTATTGGTAAGAGCTATTAAAATGTCCTCAAAATAGAAGCCTTTATTGTCAAATAATGGTGAAAACAGATCTTGAATTCTGAGTATTTAACAACACACAAAAACAGCAGTGCTCTGTATATTGTGTATTCAAGGTGAGTATTTCTCTGTGTGTTACCATGTACCATTCCTTTAGTCACTGGACACTGCTGCTCTTTGCTGCGGCAGGACAGCAGAACCCTGTGAGAGTAACATGCCTCACTCTGTGCCTGAAGTGACATCTCAAGTCACAGTAGTGTTATTAAATCGCTGTAGATAAATGAGTTTTGGGTTTGGATGTTAAGATACATAGCCAGTGGATCTGCCGACAAGGACTCCAGTTGAAGAACTTGGGAGTTCCATGCTGTTTCCACCTGTATAAAGTCTCTATGTATCGTCTTTCACTATAGAAAGTTCTAGCTGATAATGCAGTGAGTGCAGGAGAGGTTACTTCTGGTTAATTCATCCAGCTTTCAAAAATAATTTTTCAGGTTGATACAGTTAATTATACCCATTCCCCAACATTAAATGTATTCACAGTCCTGATAGGATTTGCACAGAAGACTGCATTAAAATATCAGAAGTCTCTTTAAGACCTGTTTTACTACTGAAAATTCTCAGTTCTGCATTGAGGCACTATATGATTATAGTACTTTGTCATTTAAGTTCTCTTTGTTCCTTCTTTCCTTTGCTAATGTATAATAAGGTACTTTATAATGTAACAAAGTACCTTATTATAAATCTACTTTTGTTGTTTCTGTGTTATGTTCACATGAACCTCTAACCTGATCCTAGATATTAAAAATTATACTCAAGACTTTGTTTTTGTCTTGTTCTGTTTTGCCATGAATAAGTTCATATGCTTAAGTTAGAGATAACTGGGATATCAAAATACATGTAAACAGAATAGTTACAAATGTTAACACTGGCTTACTGTCTACAGATGGTTAATTGATATTATTAATTTTTTAATAGTTGGAAATTCAGTAAGATCAAAGTAACATTTCTAAAAGATGCAGGTTGTTTGAACCTTTTTGATGTGTTGTTGTCAGAGGCTGAGTTTGGGACTTTTCAATTTGCGCTTCTTGGGTTTTGGCAGGTAAGGGACTAATGAGTTAATAGGCTGCTTTAAATAATGATGCACATGTTACCTTGAAATACTCTCCTGATGAAAATATTGACTGCGCAGAACAATTATATCCTTGTCCTATTTATAATCAGCAAATGAATGCCTTATGTTGGAAGTTATATTATATCATTGGACATCATAGTATCTCTCTCTCTGTGTGTATATATATAAATATATATGTAGATATAGATATATATAATTAACATGACCTTAATCATAAGTTTGACAAAAGTATTAATGCAGGAGTGCAAGGCCTAAATAATTTGTCAGCAGTTCACACTCCCACTAAAGGTGGGATTTAAAATGCCCACAGCTTTCTCATGCTTTAGGTTTCACTGAATGCTTTAATTGTGCTTCATGCTTCAAATCTATTGCTGATTTTGTTTTTCTTCTCTATTCTCTTTCAGAAAGATGAGGTGTATCTCAACTTGGTGCTGGACTATGTTCCTGAAACAGTATACAGAGTTGCCAGACATTATAGTCGGGCCAAACAGACACTCCCTATGATTTATGTCAAGGTAGGTAACTGATAGATGTGGTTAGGTAAAGAAGGATTTAATAGAAACAGACTCTGAGGATGCTCTTTCCTGACATAGTAAGTTTTCTGAAATTTTTAAAAGCACATAAATCCTTTTATGGTGAAGGAAGAATAGAGGATTGAGGCTTAAACAAGCACTCCCAATTTTTGACTTGACATAAATCTTGGAATGGGTGAGGGAGACTGGGGGGTGGAAGTGTTTTGTTTTTGAAGCAGCTTAGAGATGGACACCAGCTAAATTAACAGCTTTCAGTTTCCTGAGATGATGAAGATATAGTAGAACAAAGGTCAGGAAGTGAAAGAGGATGTCAGGAAGATGTTCGCTTATCTCTCATTTTCCCCTTTTCCTGGCATATGAGTAAGAATTCATGTGCTTTTGTTGTGGGCATGAAAGGCATATTTTTGTCCCCACTTGGAGCTCATTGACTCTTGTCTTCCAGAGCTACATGGGCAAGATGCTTGTATACACATTGTAGCTTTAAAACCTTACTCAAGTTGTCTACATCTTTTACACAATGTTTAAAATAAAATTTATTTTGCTGTCAAACGTGAGACCATCTGGGTCTCACAGTTCCATTTTGTATATCATGGTGACCACAATCCACACACAAGTGAATGATGATGTTTTCACCTGACATTAACTTGTGAACATGACATCCAGGTAATATTAAACAGAAATTAGCGATAAATTTACCTGATTCATATTGACTCTCCAGACTCCTCTTTAAAAGTGTAGTCCTTAATGTGAGGGTTGGCTTAAGAAAAAACTTTAATTTGGTCGAAAGAAGATGAAAGTTAAAAAGTTGAAAGCTACAAATAGTACTTATATCAGTAATGACATTTTGTGACATAACTATATGCATAAATTGCAAATGGCATGTCTCCGCAATAGCCAGCACTGGTGCCTGTTTTATAAGAAAGGACAGAATTTTATCATCCAGCAGTAACAATTTCTGTTGCAAGATCACTCTGTTTGCTCTGTTGGTGGAACAGCATGTCTTCAGTTTATATGCTACCCAAAAATCTGTTAGCTTAGCTTTTGATACATTTTTTATATATGTTTTTTTGTCAGTATTCTTGCCCTTGTTGTTCTCCATTATGGGAACTTGAGAAAGTTGTCCTTACTTACACTTTCAGAATAAAATTTGCTTCAACTCTTTCATCTTGCAGGATGCTTGGGACTTCCCATTCCAGGTAACCTGGAAGGTGTTCTTACTTTTCTGGCAAGGCAAGCCTTGCACATAATCCTGTATTTAAAAAGATCATGTTACCTCAATGTCATTAAGGGTTTTGCAATTTTCCAGGCATCTTGGCTACACAAAGGTCAAATCATACCTATTTGTTCACTTCTGATTGATACCCAGGCAGGGAGAGAGCTGGGTAACAAACTGTTAAAAAAACTGCTGGGAAGCTATTCTAGTAATCTTCTGGTTAATTTTTATTTGTAATTTCTAACATGGTCTGAGGAATTGTTGGAAATTTTGGGTTTGCTATGTGGAGATGAAAGGCATACTTTCTAAATCCCACATGTGTTGACTTGACCCCTCAAATTAGAGCAGTCTTTTGCATTATTTTGCAATACGCTTGCACAATACTTACTTAACGTGTCTAGAACAGGCAATTTGGAAAACATGTTTGTTTGCTTTTCTTTGTGCAGAGTCGTGGTTTTCAGAAACAAGTATGAAAGCCAGAGACCTAGAGCCAAAATTCAAGTTATTCTCTTTCCATTTCTATGTTTCCCGCCAAACCAGCAACAAAAAACAAGGGGGAGAGAAAGTGTGACGACAGAGATAGTGGTGAAAGTGAGGCAAACATGACCTGATAGCAATATCTAGTGATTGCACATGGTTTTATAGACAGTTAAAGGTGATTTGTGGAGAACGTGCTTAGAAAAGGAAAGCGTGGAGGTGCATCTGTGGTGCAGTGTCCTGCCTATGGCTTGATTTTTAACTGGAACCTTGTGGGGACACAACAAAAATAACAAATAACTTGGCAAATAAGCCTTCTGTCAGCCTTAAAACAGGGTTTCTGTGCCTTTAGGACTAGATGTGCTATACAGCCCTAATTGTATTCAGCACCTCTTTGTTATCCATAACCACAAGTGTGTAGCTCTAGCAGCTGGACATCCTCCCCTTGCCTTGTAATCTTATCCTGTGAAGTTCTTGGCTTTGTAACATCTCTTCTTGCTGTATTTTTCCTTGCTAAGGGATTAGCCAGCCTTGGAAAGGGGGCAGAAGAAACTCTCCCTCAGCATGCTTATTTGTTGTGCCTTGCATAAAATTATTCTGAGCATTTGGTTTTATTTGCCTTCTCTTTTTGTCCAGAGATGTGACTGTGTCCCCTCAGCACTGGGACATTCACTTCAGTGACAGGCTGAGACACTGTTCTTGTCTCTGGGCAACATTTAATATAACTTCATCTACTAAAGGGTTTTCTTTTGGCTCTTGAGGGGCAATTTTTTCAGTTGTTTGGTTTGGTTTAAGGTTTTTTTTTCATAACCTGGAATACTTCATGTCTATGAGGAGGCTGATTTGTAAAGCAAACTGAAACACCTTTATTTTGTGTATGTTTTTTATGACTGCTGTTATTTATAAATGTTGGAAGACTGGCACAATTACTTTTTTGGCATTATGCTGAGTTTTGTAAGGACAGATGAACCACATGTGTGGGTATGTGGCACAGGGTGGGTGGGGAAAGTATGCAAATACCTTGTCCATCTTCATAGCACTAGTACACATTCAGTATGGTCTTTTTTGAGAGCTTTTCTTTTTCTTCTAATAAGAGTTTGTGCTAAACTAATTGTTTACCCCATTGGACTTGTGTTTCTGTGTTCCAGTTGTACATGTATCAGCTGTTCCGGAGTTTAGCCTATATCCATTCCTTTGGGATCTGCCACCGGGATATAAAACCACAGAACCTCTTGCTGGACCCTGATACAGCTGTTCTAAAACTCTGCGACTTCGGAAGGTAAGTATATCTGTGGCCTGAAACCTGGTGAAGACGTCTTCCTTCAAAGTGAACCTTTGCCAAGAAATCCTCTGTGTCCTTCAGAAGATCTTTCTTTATTTGTAGTTTTGAAAGAGAACTGCTGATATTCTATTTTCCCCTCAAAATGAGTTTGGGGTGGGAGGACGGAGGTAAAAAGCTGGAAAAGGATACCAGGAGGGAGGGAATTAAAATTCAAGCCTGTTACGTTTGCAGGTATTAGAAAAATAAAATAAATATACAGTCATATAGGAAAAATACTACACCATGGAAAAATACAACCAAATATTGTAGCGAACTGTGTTTTGGGAAGAGAGGACAGGTGCAGTGGCACCGTGTATTAAAAAGGCTAATGTTGCTCTTTATTAGTCTATTCGCATGTACACCAATTCACTTCATGTTGCCAATACCATAGAGGCTCAAGATCAGAAGCGGGACTTCCAGTTGAAGTTCTTGGATAGTGGACATCTGTATTCTAGTTTCTAATGGCACATTTATTTCCAATGTCTGTTCAAGTGAATCGCATGTAGAGTCCAGCCCCCATCTTAGAACTGATACAGAAATTCTGGAAACCCACACTGAGACAGGAGACATATTTCTGTCCTGGAAAGTCCAGTCTTTAGATTGTACTATAACTTTGCAGACTAAATAGGTAGGATATACGTGCAAGAAGTCATGGAAGCTGCTGTTGCTAAATACACTTGTCCATAGTGAGTGGGAATGTCAGATGGTGGTTATTCAAGCAGTGCATCATCATGCCTAGTGGCTTGAAAATCTCCTCCTCAGCTCTGCCTCACCAGTGTTGGAGCAAAATAGAAATCACACTGAAACTCAAAAATAATAATGCATAAAAAAGGTGGTATTTACTATCTCTTATCAGTGGGAATTTGTTAACTGTAGTTTCTATATAGAAAACAGAAAACTGAGACTTTTAAAATGGGTGGTAGGAGTCCTTCTTCCCTGAAGGCTGAAAGGAGTGTTTGGAAAGCTGAACACTAGATTTGACTGGCTTGCCCCTCTGCAGTGTTCGGTGCTGCTAAGTTAAATGTCATATTTCTGAAAGGGCAATTTTGTTTTCCAGCTCCTTTTTTGTCTAATTTAATTGCTTGTTAATTAAGAAAGAAGTATAATATGTCCATACTCATGTTCCAAAAGTACTGTCCTCTCATGGTCCATTCTTTTCTTGGATTCTTTCAACAGTAGTGGTTGAGGCAATACTGTAGGTTTGTGGCTGATCTCTTGCAGTATAAACGAAACCTTCATGTTAATTGTGGACCATTAATATGTGAATATAATGGCAAAGTTTATTTTCCTTTGTCTCCTCATACCCCTTTTACGTCATGCCACACTCCCTTAAATAGCAAAGAGACAGAACATTATGATGGAAATTAAAAAGCAACCAAACAAAAAAGCAAACAAACAACAACAACAAAAAAACAAACAAACATAAACCCTCCACTTGCTTCCTGTGAGTATCCAGAGATTTTGAATCTTAAAAGTTAACTACATTTGACTGAACTGTTTTCTGTCTGCTTTGCCTTTGTAAACAAACCTTTGTATCTGGAAAAAGACAACTGCCAGCCAAAAATCTGACCCTGTTTATCAGCTAGATTGTAGTCAGAATTTCCTTTGCTATTTCCAGTATAAGGAAGATGCTTGAGGGATTGGACTCGTTTCACAGTGAATCATTGAGTCAGTGGTTTGCATCCTCTTAGAAGGACATGGTACTTCAGCATTTAGGAATTGGGAGTGGTTGAAGAGTGCCAAAGCTTGATGTTAGTCTGTACAGCATTATTGTAAAAATATTCACTACTGAAATGTTACCATTTCCTTTTCAGTGCAAAGCAGCTGGTTCGTGGAGAACCTAATGTCTCGTACATCTGCTCTCGGTACTACAGGGCACCAGAGTTGATCTTTGGAGCCACCGATTATACCTCCAGTATAGGTATGTGCGTGTATTTGTTGAAATCTATCCCAGCTGCATGAGTTTTTATTTGGTAGTTACGTGTCAAGGTTTACAGAGATCTCAGACTGTAGAAAATCAGTTATTGCTTCTGATATGCTATGATTTGGACGCAAATAAGTCTGTGATTTATTTACTTGGCTTTTAGGAAAGAGTTTATGGGGGGGAAGTGTGTCCTAATGATTGACTTTAAACTCTTCTTACAGTTTTACTATATTGTGTACAGCAGTCCTTCTAATTCAACTTGTTCTGCTAGCTTCTGTGGTCTTTTAGGCATTAATTTGGAACACGAAGAAGACTTCTTTCTAATACCTGACACATAGCTGTGTCATGGAAATATTAGGCTGGAGATTTTACTAGAGGACAGGTTTTCTCTCTTTCTACTCTGACAGAGTAGAGTCCTAAAAATAAATAGGATAATGAAAAATCTTAAACAGCAACGTGTTGGGTGGTTGTGAGTAACTACTTCTGGTTTTTAGTCAAGATATTCCCTGCGCCCCTTCTGAGTTCCAGTGTTAAAGAGACTAGATTTGGCTCTCACCTTAGCACAATATTGAGGAACTTTTTGCCTTGCTTATGGACTTGATTTACTTAGGCAAGGTTTAATGTTTTCAAAAGGATTTGAGGATCATGATTAAGTCTTGGCAGAATGTGTTTATAACCACTTAAAGTATATTTAAAGTTGTTACGTTCTAACTAGTGTGAAAGTGAGTGGCTGGCTGGCTTATTTCAACTCTGCAGTTCTTTGAGGGGGGTGAAAAAAAACCCATCAAAACGTGTTCCTGAAGGCTTACCTGCTCTCACTAAATTTTTTTCCCATCGGTTATCATTCGGTATGTATTTTAGCAACACTTACATATCTCCCCGGTAGGAAAAAGAGGCAGAACCAAGAGAAGTCTGAGGAAAGTAGTGGCACAATAAATACAAAAGGGCAGAACATATGGTTGGCTGCTGCCAAAAATGGCAGCCCCAGCCCCACTCTTGCCCCTGGATACCCTGAATCTCACAGTTTATTGTTTAATACACTGATTCAGCTTCAACTGACAAGAGACTTGGCGGGTTAACTTTCTGCTATGGGAGAGAGCGCAATCAGCATTACTGTGTAGTCAAATAAGCAGCAAGGCCCAGGTAAAAGCAAAGTGTCATGAGCTCATGAGTGAGAGGAAGGTGGCTGATCCCTTTTGACATCTTTTTGCCAGCTGAGAGCTAATAGTTTGTCTCAGCTGCATTATCAGAGTGCAGAGACAACTTGTTTCAGAGGATAACTGCATAAAACAAGTCTTTTATGTGTCACCAGAAGAGACTGTTTTATAGATAAGCCCGTTAGGTGTCTCTTGTTCCAACTGTGTAATGACTTTAAACTTGTGCTATTTGTCAGACCCTTTTTCAAGGTGCTCTTTCCGTTTTTGTTGTCTTACATACTGGTCTCTAAAATAGTTGTAATAAAAATTACATGCTGAAGTGAGGAGTCCATTTTTCACCTGCCAAAAAAAAAAATCATGAATTTCAGGTTTTGTCCAGTCTTTCTTGTGCCAACCCTCCAACCCATGTCCCTTAAGGTCCTTTTTCTGAAATTTGCACAGAATGGCATAAAAAAAACGGGCAGCTAATAGTCTTTTCTTTCTTTCTTCCTGTCCTTTCCACCTTTCACTTTTTTCTCAGCAGAATCTTTGCATTTGGGAGCTGAGAAGGAATAAAATGCTTTTACAAATTTAATGGTTTTCACATTCTGCAAATAAATTAGAAATTCTAAGGGTTTAGTTGTTTGATGCTGCTGTTTCCAGTGGTAGTAAATATTCCTTAGTTCTTGCTGGATAGGCACCAACAGTGCTTAGTGAGAACTCTGCCTTATTTCACTTAGGATTGTTCATCCAAACTCAACCAGCTTGTTGGAAAACCAATCAACAAGCACAGATAGGTTTATTAAAAGAGAGGAAGTAGCACTTAATTATTAGCGCTTTATCCGTTGCTCAAAGTGTAGGGAACTGTGAAATGCTACAGTATGATAATACTGCATTTTAAACTTTTTGTTTTTAATGTTGATATGCTTGGTTTTCTAGTTCTTGTTTTCCTGTGAATTGTTAGCATAACAAGCTTTTCCTGCTATAGCCATTATCACTCTATAAGAATCCACTTGTGTGTGTGTGTGATAACAAAAAGTCAACTTACAATTAAGGTGAGGATCTTCACTATTCTGTTTAAATATCCTCTCTTAAAACTACATTAAAAGTAAAATCAGTGAAGCCAAAAAGTGTTCTAAGTAGAAATTTTTTGTATGTGATCTGCAAGACTTCCAGGTTTTTCTGAGGGTTTTTGTTGTTTGCTAACATTACTACAGGGCTTATGGTTATAATGAGCTGTAATATGGTAATTTTTGGAAGTATTTCTGAGCAAGAAGTGCTTTTTAAGGCTAGGCAGTGGCACTGCTGGCCCCAGAGTGTCAGCACAGCCAGCTGCATCATGACCATTTCCATAGTTAGTCATCTTGTAATGTGTTACATCAGTGTTTCAGTTATCACTGTAACCAGGGATGGCATTGCACTGTCTGGCTTCACATACGTTGTCTTTAAACATCTGAATTTGGCCTTACAGCAGTACTTGCTCTTCAGTGTGACAGAAACTAAAGTTTGTTCCAGGATATGTCTTTTCATCGTGGGTGTCACAAGAAAACTATAAACTGACTTTTAAATTGTAGGATCTTGATTATTTCCTCAAAATGCATGACTTAAATTCTAACCCAAAACGTCCCTTCAAAAAATAATTCACAGCCAGGAGTTTTTTTAACTTTTGTGAAGTACTGCATTAGTGCTGTATTTAAATATACACCATAGTAAGAGTAGCATCAAATCACATTTACTGCAGTTAATGCCTCTCTGTCTGCCTCCAGCAGACCTGGGACTCTATTTTTAAAATGATGACCTGGGAAATGACCTATTCAAGCTTTTAAATAGCCGCTGTTGCCAAATAGCTACAAATCCAGGCCCCTAACAGCTCTGTCATCTGCCTTCGTTACAGTTTTATGGGATTTTTTCAGTAGTCAGGCACAAGTATCCATGTCAACTGGGTGTCTTCATAGCTTGTACAGTTTGGGCCTTTGTGCACCTATGACTATGAATTCTGCAGATGTGTGCATGTCCCTAAAGCTTGCTGGGGATGGTACATTGTTTATTTCCTCCAGCTGATACACAAGGGGTTTTTTTTTGTTGTTGTTGTTTGGTTTTGGTTTGTTGGGGTTTTTCTGTGGTTTGGCTTTGTTTTTTTCTTTCCAAACCAAGCTCTTTCAGCTGTCCTTGGACAGTTTTTTGGCTGAAGCTTCTCCTTTGCCAGTCTCTGTGTGTTACAGCATCTCAGAGTACGTTGATGGCATGCTGCTGGCAGTTCTGGTCATAAGGGAGGTGCTGCCTGCTGAAAAACCATGGGATGGCTGCCCACATTCCCCTACATTGTCCTGGGACAAATGTAGGCACTGGAGCAGGGGTGGGTGCAGATGTTTGTGTTGCCATGTGATCCTTTTGTGTAAAAAGAAGTTATGCAGCTGAGCTTTGCCCCCACGACATGCATTTTTTCAGTAGGTTAGGTGGCAGGGCAGTGGAGGGCTCACCAAAAGATGGTGGTGCTTTGGCATAACAAGGGTCTGCTGGGCTCAGTGTGTTTTCTCCATCACTGCACTGGCAGGAGTTGGGAGCATTCCAGAGGGAACGTTTATAGCTACTGGCAGGGAAAGATTGATCTGCATGGCTCTATTGCTGGCTTCTCTTGGGGTGTCCAAAAATAAGTATCGTGAAGTGGTTCATTCACTTTCCTAGTGAGTGCAAAGACAGAGGGAGAGAGTATTTGACCTCAGCAGTCTGGAGCATAAGCTCCTCTTCAGGCATGTGTAGTTTGCCTAACTCAGAGTTTCTTGGGGAAGAACCACCACAAGGTGTGTTGCAAAACTGTTGCCAAACAATAAAAAGTATTTGCTTCTGTCAGATGGCAATTTCCAGTGCTGAAAATAAGCACATGTTAATTCACAGAACTACTCTATCACCTGTCATTGTAGTTTCATCTCTTCATTGCAAAAGAATACAGATACCTGTGCTTAGCTTTTGTTCCAAATACTGGAACAAGCATGTCTTTTCAAGCATTTTCCTGTTTCAGCCTTACTCTGTCTCTGCTGTCTGTGGATCTGTGGCTTGATGTGCAAAACTTGCACCAACACAGCATGCGTGCATGTAATCCTGAATTTTGCTCTTGCTGTGACATCCCAAAATTTGTTTCAAACAAGCAGCAGTGAAAAGCACTTTGGGGTCTGGTATTTGGCAGCTAGAAGCTGCTAATTTTATGACTTCCCAGAGCTGCTTTTCTGACTCTTGGTTTCTTTCCTGCTAGTTTGTTTCCACAGTTTACAGAGCAGCAACTTTGAGTCACCTCCAAGACGGAGGAAGTCCATCAAGATTAAGGGATAGTGAGGCAAAGAGGAATAGGTGAGAGTAATAAAAAGAGTAGAAAGGTAAATATGCCCCATAAACCATCAGATAAATGAAAGTTCTTAATTTGTACAAAATGGATGTGATAAACCCTTTATTTTTTTTCCTTCTTCATTTCCTCCATATAACAAGTTAGAGGAGCTAGAGTGTAATACAAGGAAAGGTGCTCATTCTAGGAAGAAGAGGGCCAACTTTTCAGCTTGGATAAGTAGAGTTTGAGATTACAAAAAGTGAAATTCATTGGACAGGGTATTCTGTTGCAGACAACTCAAAATGGACATTGCACGCTAGTAGAATTAAAGCCAAGGAGTGTATTTTGCAGGTGTTCCTCCCAGATGCCTCTTCCTGAGTGAAAGAGAAATATTCCTTTTCTTACATTCTCTACTGCTAGAATGCATTCCAAAGCAAGAGTATCATACAGATATTTTATTATTAGACATATCCATCTAGCAGCTGTGAGCATCAGTAAAGTACTAGAAATTTAATTTAATTAAAGTTTTGTAGTATAAGAGGCTATATGAATTTTTGTGTGCTTGAATTAATGGATGTAGGTCAGGTGATAATGGTATTTGTCTTAAGTGTTCTCCAGTCTAGGAAAGATGTGGCATTAGCTACCATTATAATGTGTGAAAGCTATCTGAAATAAGCTTATTCGAAGGTTGCTTTTGGCTGGCAGTTGTATTTATTGTCTGTGTTGTTCAGACTACATTTCACTGATGGTGTGAAGAAAGTACCCTTGCCTGCTTTCTTAAAATGAATAGCTTTCAGTATTTTCTCTTAAAATTTCACATTGTCCCAGCTAGTTTGACGTAAGAATTTGTTGACTTGTTTTCTGTTAAGATTCTCTCTTACCTTGTTTATTATCTAGTTTAAAGCATGTGAATGACAGTCCTAGTTTGCTTTAATTAAATTACACGTACTGAAAAGAAAAAAGTTCAGAAAATGCTTCTGCTCCCATTGGAGCAGGTAGTTATACCACAAACTTCCTCCAAAATATTATTAACCTATAACAGTTAGCTCTGACTGTGCTAAGACAGAAAAGTGTCTGAGAAGGAGCTATCAAAAATTGATACCTTATCACTTCCCACAAGTAACATGTCTTTAAATGTTTACTTCAGGCTTGAGGAAAGTGGTATATCCTGATTTGGTACATAAATTTTAAAATGCCAGATTTAAAGGGTGGGGATAAAAAAAAAAGGTCAAACTGTCCTGGAGCCACATTTTAGTCCTGTTAAAGTCAATGGCATAAATTTCATCAAGTTTCATCAGAGATGAAATTTCTTAGTTTGTTCCTTATTGTACATTGTTCACCAGAGTTAAATAAACATCTGTATAAATTGTGTTTTGTTTCTGTTCCTGCTTGGAGCTGCTCAAGTTAGCCTCCACTCTCTGGCTTTTGTTGAGGATGCTTCAAGGATTTGTTCACTTCCTTGCCCAGGGAACATTGTCCAAGTCCTAATTTGGAAGTTGGTGAAATTACACGCTTGGAAAAAAGCTGGGGATTTTGGAATGCCTGTGTTTTACTTCAACGTGTGTTTAAAGTGTTAGCAAGGAAAATCAAGGAAAAGTAAATAGACTTTTAACAAGACGTTAAATTACCTGATTTGGAAGATTTCAGTGCACAAGGAACTACTACATAGGTTTCTGATGGATGTGTATATTTGATGGATTAAACCTACCATGAATGTAGCAAGTATTCCTCAGACATTACCAGCTGTTTCCTCATGACCTACATCCTTTCTTTTTTATCTCTCTTCCCATATGATGCCCTCCACTTTCTCAGGTACCCTCTGCTGTTTGTGCTTGGCCTTCTTGCTTGAGCAAGGACCTGCACATTCTTTGGCTTGTTTGCAGTTACAGTTTGGCAGGGCTGGGGCAAACACGGTGCTTCCCACAGGAACTGAACCCTCCTCTCCTCAGCAGTAACGCTGATGCATGCTCTCCAACTGTTTTTACAAAATTTCTGTAATGGATTTCAAGACTTCTGCCCATCAAACTTGTCCAAAATTGGCTGGTGGAGTGCAAAGACATTTAGGGAAACTGGGAAAGGATAAAACAGCAAAAGCCAGCTTCTGGAGCAGCCAAACCAAAAGGTTATTTAAAACAGTTTAAAAAAGCCACAGTCTAATTTGAAAAAAGTCATGTTTAGCATAGTTTCAGAATTTTAAAAGGAAGTGAGTTGTGAATGATGACTTACTCTTGTGTCAGCATTGGGTTTGTGTATATTCTGTCAAATATTTTTCCTTCCCATGTATGTTATTTCTTTTTCAGTGCAAAATAAGGATTGAAGTTGTAAATAATGATTATAGATTTGGGGTAACGACTTGTTTTGTAAAGGGCAGTGTAAAGGACTCAGGTTTTTTAAAACCCTTTAAGGTGCCTTTAAATAGATTTTTAAGTTACAGTCCTCTGACTGCTTAGTGCATTTAATCTGTTTCTTCTTACTTCTGAAGAACTCTATGCTATCTGTTGAACTGTTGTGTAATTTCCTCTAAACTCATTATGCACGAGATGACACAAAAGTGTTGTACATGTTGGTCCAACAGCAAGAGCTATCATTTAGCAGTTGGATGCAATCAAATGTTCTTTATGTGATTCCTTCTTCATTTGTTGTCCGAAAGAGATCTTAACACCTTGGTGGCCATATCAGCTTTTATTAAATGTGACTAAAAGAGGACCCTGGTGGCCTAGTGGTTAGCGTGCAGGACTTTCACTGCTGCGACCACGGGTTCGAGTCCCCGGTCTCCTGGCCTGATGGAGGTCGTTAGCCCTGTGAGGCCATCCATCTATGAGAAGGACACTCTAAACAAACCTACGTCCTGAGGACCTCACTGCCACTGTCCAAGCTTGCTTGGCCCCAGCAGATGAACCTTAGGATTAAAGGGTGGGCTCAGTTCAGCGCAGGCTGTGTCTCACCTAAAAAAAAAATCCATTGCGCAGGCTGGAAAGGTAAAAAGACCTTTCCCCAAATCTTCGTTCGCGAAGATGGGCCATTATTATTATTATTAAAAGAGGAAAAAGCATCATCTGGTATGTTGACTTTTTGAATTTCAAGAGTCAGCTTTCAAATTATTTCTGGTTGCTGTTTGCATTGGTGTGGTGTTTGTACTAAAACATTAGGTAAAAGTGCATCCATCTGACTTGGAGGTGAATGATTTTGAAAGTTGCAGTAATGAGCAGTGCTGTTTGTCTGCTGTAGGTTCCAATTCAATCATATCTTTCTTGTGAAGAGGGGGAAGTATTTTGTATAGCCCCTCTCTCTTTCCTTTAAAAATCAGGGAAGGGAAACTCTGTTCTAACATGTAGATTACTTTGTTATAAATCTTGAATTCCTGAAAGCTTTTTTTAATTAATTTTTGCACCAGTCTGTAGTGGTTGTGACAAAATGATAATAGACTTTAGAGAACTGGCAGAGACGTTTTCTTAACTCAGACCTTTAGCCATAACTGACAGTGTTCTGTGTATCCTGCTTCATAGAACCAGAGTCATAGAATGGCTTGGGTTGGAAGGCGCCTTAAAGATCACTGAGTTTTAACCCCCCTGCCATGGGCAGGGACATCACCCATTAGACCAGGTTGCTCAAAGCACCATCCAGCCCAGCTTCGAACACTGCCAGGGATGGGACATAGTTTAAATACATTAGGACATAAAGATTTCTGGTTTAGCGTGAATTATCTCAGGTGGAATGGGCCTCAGGAGGTAAATTCTCTGGGGTTTGACTTATGGTGACACTGCTGTTATCTCATGGGGGAAGGTTGGCTCATAGAAGTAGGCAGGAGTTCAAAGAAATATGGGTGGAAGGGGACTGGTTTTCCCTTTTGGGGAGTTACAGTATTGTTGGCTTTATAAATCTTCTGTTACTGGTTGCTTGTTTGAGAGAAGATTTTATCATAAGGTTTCATATTTGTTGATGACTTTCTAGAAAACCTTATAGTCGATCTGTTTTTTTGGAGAGGCAGTTATCTCTGCATCAAAGTGCAATACTTCTACTGTGTTGAGCAGCTTAAAATTCTATTTATTTGGTGTGTAGTTACATCAGATTCTCACAAACATCTGCTAAACAGTGTTTACTGCATTTGCGTTGTTAGATTTTTCATTTTAGGTAATTATGTTTCCAAAAATAATATGCTATATTCCATAGTAGTCTTAGATACATTCTTAAATTACTGCTGTAGTATTCAATTGCCAGATTATTTAAGGAGATATACATGTAATAGAGTAGGAAAAATTTCTTCATGTAGGAGGAAGAGCTGCTAGGGACTACTCGTGGCTTTTGTTATATGCACAAAAGTTAGTTGATGGCTCTTCTTCTAAGGATGCTGTTGATGTGATCTATGACTTGCAGTTCTGTTGTCTATCCAAATTTGCAAATGGAGTTGGGATAAAGATTGGATCTTGAGGTGACAGAGTTATAGATGCTGTCTCACAGATCCCTTAGTCATCATGTTCTGCAGGATACCGGTGATACTTGCAGTACTGGTTCATCTGCTAGTGTATATATGCTTTCAATATATGTGTGAAAAGCTGAGTCTATTCAATACTTGAAAACTGTAAAAACATCAGCCGTTGTGGCAGATGACACCTATGCATAGTTTGTGATCAGTCTGATTTAAAAACAACATAGAGTTTGGGGAAATTCTTAATTTACAGATGGCAAGCATTCTCTGTTCTTTTCCCTACACGTGTAAGTTTTAATGTCAATATATTATGGCATTTACTATTATTTTACAGTTCTCATTGTCTTGCAGTTTGACTTCTAAGACTGTTTGCCCATCATTGCTTTATTCTAGGTATCTGTGTTTTCTAGACTAACATTTTGGATAGGAATGTTTTTTATTTTTAGCTCTGATACATATACTATCAAACATGGCAAGGAATAAAGTAAGTAGCCTAAAATTGCTGGGGTTTATATAAATGGCCTCATATGTATCTTTTACTGATACCTTTCCCTGTGTTCCACTTTTCCCTTTTTTAGATGTGTGGTCAGCAGGCTGTGTATTGGCTGAACTGTTACTAGGACAACCGATCTTTCCAGGTGACAGTGGTGTGGATCAGTTGGTGGAAATAATCAAGGTATGGAATTTTAAAAGTTGTTTTGACTGCATTATTCCTTGGGAATCAGCATGAAAACATGCACTGTTATAAACTTGTGAACACATATATTATGTCACCATTGTACAGGGTTTTGCATGTAAGTGGTGTTTGAAAACACTTCTCATGCTTTTTTGAGAACCTGATGATCTTTATTTGTTCTTCTTGCAGTCATGCATAGCCATATATCATCTTTTAATTATATAGGGGATTTTTCCCTGATAAAGGATTGCTCTTTCAGTGTGCTTGGAAAAAGTGCTTACATACTGAGCTAATATTTATTAACGTATGATTTTCATTCTTTAAGAATCTGGCATGCAGTTAGTACTTGGCTTTGAAAACAGTGTTATTAAATTCCTCGTGCCAGATTTTTCACATGTGTAGTTGCCTTCTCTTCCTTCTAGCTCTCTGAGATGAAAGGTGAGAAAGGGCACTTGTTTTTGCAGATAGGGAACTCGGGACATGTAGGGCAAAGGTACCTTCCACCCAAAGAGTCTTGCTCTTGAAAGTAAAAGACCTAATGTTTCAGAATACATAACATTTATGTATCACTTATGTCCAAGCACATCTTGATTTATTTCATTTGGAAATCTGTGAATGTTCTGTGGTTCTCAAATTGGAGGCATGTAAGAATAGTTAATGGACTAAAGGATTGTTGTCTGACTTTCCAGTGGTCTTTCTGCTTCAGCTTCTGCAGTGAAAGAAACAAGATTTCCAGAGAAAACAGTATATTTTTCCTCTGAATCTATACTATGCACACAATAAGATGGCATTGTTACAGAGGATGTGTGCACATGCTAATCAGCTTTATTGATTTCATCACCACAAGGGGACTGTATTAAAAGAATTTCCTCTTTCATTTTGCCACTTAACTAACTAACTTGATGTATACTGTATGTGTGTGGCATGCATGTGAAAAGCTCCTCAAAACCAAAATGTATGGGCAAAAGAGTAGAACTTGCTACTTGTGTCTGTGTTATTAGCTAGAAGAGCTGTGGTGTCTCTGTCCATGTCTTAACAGAGTGTGTGATATGAACCAGCACTGAATGGTCATTCTCCTGCATGAAGGACATGTGCTGGTGAGGCTCAGTGGGATGTGCTATGACCTTTCTAGGCTCTCACCACATCTCTTCCAGCTTTTGACCACGCAAACGTGGCTTCTGTTATGGTGGGTTTCTGTGTCTCCTGCTGGAAATCCTCCAGTCAACAACTTTCCTCTGGGGACTCCATGTTTTGCACCTACTTCTGCTACAACTTTCTCTGTTTCTTCTTATTGCCTTTCTGCCCGGTGTATTTAAAACTCAATTTATCCCAGTTGGATCAGTTTACATAGGAAACACTAGTGGAAAACTAGACCTGCTCTCAGAGGTAGGGCTGAGAATGGCACAAGTGACAGTGTTTTTTCCTTTTGAGAAGTGTCTTGGAGCTGTGTGCTGCTTTTGCTGCTCTGCTTTTGTGAGGTGTGAAGTGGTCCCTGTGAACTCTTTAGATAACCAGATTCCTCAGGATTTCATGTGATAATGTGTGGTGTGGAATTTTTGAAAAGTCCTGGTTTGTTTCTTGATTAATCTGCAATCCTGAGAAACTACATCTAGTCACAGAATCAATTAGGTTGGAAAAGACCTCTGTGATCATCAAGTCCAACCTGTGACCAAACGCCACCATGTAAACTAGACCATGGCACTGAGTGCCATGTCCAGTCTTTCCTTAAACACTTCCAGGGACAGTGACTCCACCACCTCCCTGAGCAGCCCATTCCAAGCAATCACCCTTTCTGTGAAGGAATTCCTCCTAATGTCCAAACTAAACCTCCCCAGTACAGCTTAAGACTGTCCTCTTGTTGTGTCACTAGTTGCCTGGGACCCCTGGTGGCCTAGTGGTCAGCATGCGGGACTCTCACCTCTGCGACCCAGGTTCAAATCCCAGTCCCCCGGGCAGATGGAGCTCGTTAGCCCTGTGAGGCCATCCATCTATGAGAAGGTCACTCTAAACAAACCTATGTCCTGAGGACCTCACTGCCATTGTCCAAGCTTGCTTGGCCCCGGCAGATGAACCTTAGGATTAAAGGGTGGGCTCAGTTCAGCGCAGGCTGTGTCTCACCTAAAAAAATCCATTGCGCAGGCTGGAAAGGTAAAAGACCTTTCCCAAAATCTTCGTTCGCGAAGACTGGCCATTATTATATATTATAGTTGCCTGGGAGAAGAGGCCAACCTCCATCTGAATTTTTGTAAATACAACTGTTTATATCACAGTGACTATCCATGGCTCAATCAGAAATCTGAGAGTAGAGAGACCTTTCTAGCAAAACCATAGTGCTCTGCCCTGCCATTGCTTTGATATTCACAATGTGGAAGTAAAATAATCAGGAGAAAGATGTTCTCTTATTATTGACCTGCTTGTCAAGCAGAGATTTGTGGTTTGGTTGAAAGTTTGCTAGAAGCCGTTAAGATCAACAGTTCTGCAGTATTGAAGAAAACATCTGTGAACTAGTAATTTCATGGTGTGTATGTGTTCCAATTGTGGTGATTCTTTGTTTACACCAGTTGTATTGAAGCAGAGGAGTACTTTAATAAAATTGGTGGTAGCCTATGTACCATCTAAGGTGGTAACTTTTCTTGACTAACTCACAGTGGTGACAATACTGGCAAACTAATGTTATTTCTCAGGAAGTATCCACTGTAAAGGATACTTCAGTGAATTATAGGTTGAGATTATGATTTTCACCCCTGCAGAAACAAAATTCTGCATAATTTTCTTAAACGTATAAAGGGGGATACTTAATGATCATTCACACCTGTGTTGTGGTGGGGTTTTCTCATCCTCTGGTACCTATGTAGCCCACTACACATAGGAGTTAAGTGAAATAAATGTAGGGATAACTCCATTTTACAGGAAACCTGGTCTCTTCAATAAAAAAGTTCCAGTACTGAGACTATGTTTTAGAAAAGTCTGACAGAACAAATGCTGTAGATCTTGCAGCAGTAGTCACAAAAAAGGATGTTTGCTGAATTTTTAAAGAAGTATCTTGTAAAATGTGAGCCTGAATGGGTGGGTGCCATGAATGTTTTTCTGCCAGTGTATTTGTTGCTGAAGCAGCATATATTCTGAAGGCAGCACTGGAAGAGAAGCTGAGTGCAAACTGCAGAAGTGGGCTGTTTTTCAGGGCCCTTGTCTACCAAATCTTCTGTTGTGAAGCTTTTATGAACTTTTCAGAAAAACCCTAACAGAAGGTGAAGGTGAGAATACAGAGAGAGTTATAATTGAGAATATTGCATTTGAAATCAACAGCTCTGAGAAACTGTCTTGGAAAGTGTGTGAATTGGGTAACGAGGTGCTTCCCTTGTAATGCTGTACTCACTGACAAGTATTTCTCATAGTGGGAGTAGGGGGAGAGAGAGAAAGCACGTTTACATCAAATTTCAAGTAATTTTTCCTCACTGTTTGAAAATTAGGAAAAAGTAGAAAGTGAGGTCCTCAATTTTCCATTTTGCCAGCTGTTGGCAGGGATCCATCCCATCTACTGTGTATCCCTTAAAAATGACCAATAACCAAACTGAGCAGATTTGGTTTCAAAATCTGCAAAGAAGACATGAAACATTCTGCTCCTCTGCACTTCCAGAATGATGCTTAAATTCGACTTAGTTTTGAAAGGTTAGCATAAAAGAAGCAACCCATGTGAGTGAGTTTGGGTTTCACAGCCCCAATACAGCTGAAGACATGCAATCCTGCAGCATAAAAATGACCAGAAATGTTAAATCTTGGGTGCAGCATGTCAAATGTAACGTTGTATAAGACTTCCTTTAGAGTAGGATTAATTTAAAAAATACGATAGATGGTGTCCACCTCTTCCCTTTGCTGCCACAGAATACTAGTATTTAAAGCTTTCATTGTAACAGATTTGTTAGCTAGCTGGCTGTAGGAGAAGCAGAGCACTTGTAGAACAGCAGTGAACTTGATAGAAGGTTCCAGGCTGGGACCTGTGAGCTGCTGTTTGACTGTCTTGGAGTCATGCTCTCCAAGTAGCTTTGTTGGAACTGTGTGTCTGAAACTTAGGGGCCAGGAAAATGGAGTATTTTAAACTCCCAAAAAGGGCTATAGGAAGGAAATATTTATCCCCACATTTGGAAATGCATCTTACTTTCATCCCTTAAATTTACTCAATTCCGCTGCAAGAGAGGTCAGCTTAGAAACTTTACTGCTGGTTCTTATCAATTCCAGATGACTGAGTCACAGTTACACTTGTCCATTTTTTTGAGCCAAGATAAATTTTTCAGTTGTCTCTTCAGTTGCTTGCTCAGCTTTGATTATTCAGAGTTCATTTTGCAACACAGCAAGTGAATGCTACACCTGGCTATGAAGTTTTTTGCATTACACTGGATAATGATGACTTCAAAATGCCATCACATTAAACTAATCCTCCTTTCTTATGGAGTTCTTGATGATATCCCCTTGGTAGCTGTGTTCATGAAAATAGAATTTCTGTTATACGTCAGTTGGCACAGATTGTCCTTCCTGCAGCCGTTTGCCCAACAGCTTCAGTCCCTTGCTTCATCACAAGCATTTTTGGCTCTTGACAGATTTTGATTCACTTTCAGCAGCCTTCATGTAGATTAATTTCAAGCAGTCTTGAAAGATCTTCTCTATCCAGTTGCACCTGGAGTTTCTCCAGACTTACTGCGTATTTGCAAACTGCTCTGAAAAACTATGCCGCTCTAGAACCACAGCATCACATCCGTGTGAATCAAAAGAGAGTCCCCTTCTTTTAAGCTTCTTTGTCTTGTTCCTAGTTCTTTAAATATGGTCTTTCCAGATGTTCTCAATCTGACTGGGAAAGAGAGATCTATAACCACTTACCCTGACAGAATGATATTTGATATGGGGAAATACTGTCTTGGAGCTTCATCTGAAGAAATAATTTAACCAGAGTACATTCTTGTTGAATACTTATGCTATTACAGGAGAGACATCATGTGCAGTGCTTT